CGCCAAGAGTTCTCCTGCAGCGCATGGGATGAACAACCCACCATGTTGTAAATCTGGTGTTCCTTGGGTGTTGAGGGTTTGAACTATTCCAGGACTACAGTGACTACAGTAGAAAAACACTGTGGAACTATTCCTTGGAGCGTTTCGATGTGGTGCCATTTGTTCCCTTGGCCAAACACCTGGCCAAACCCACCGTCCTTCACATTGATTCCTGGAGACCTCGCGGTCCTTCCGTGCTTCAGGGGTCGGGAGAAGAAGCAGTCCTCTTACCGTTGATGGGGTTCTTGAACTCGACCCAAGCCAGCAACCACTCCCTGAAACAAAGGATGGAAGTGGAGTTCACCCCCTGGTTTGTGGACAAATCATATGAAAGAGAGGCCGTGATCCACTTCCATGATTGGTTGGAGGGAGAGTAACTATTGAGTTCTTTTTGTTGATTGGGTCGCATTTTTTCGGCTGACCAGGTGTCACCAGAACACCCCGTGCTCTGGGCGTCCCATCGGCGATGCTTCGTGAGGCAGGACAACCGCTTAATACCGCTTATTCCCGCCCCGTCAGGTGTGAGGGACATTCATACCATACCATACACCGCTTAATACCGCTTGGCATGGCCCCAGCACCCTGCCCCGAACGCGCTTTGCCAAAGTCAAGGCTCTGTAAAGACACCCGCCTGGGGATTTCAGGCCACAGCCAGGGCCAGGGGTCCAGCCAGGAAGCCACGCATTCAGCGACGGTCATGGCTGAGGACAGGAGCTGGATGAGTCGAGCTGAATGAGTCCTCCAGTTATCCAATGGCTCAGAACTCAGCTGGTCTTGGTCGAGCTGCAGCTGGATGCACCATGGATCATCCATTTACGAAACTATTCATTATGCAAAAAAAACCTCTTGACGACCTCACTCACCCTGATAGCGTCTTATAGCCATTCTGTGTTCTTTGCTCTTCAATCTGATAACCTGTCGGACATCAAAGAGTTTTTGGGCGTGTGCTCAGCAATTCCAGTGCTTCTGATTGACTTGAAAAACAGCAGCTGGAGGCAATATATCTGCACTCCCTGGTCAGCATGGCAAAGCTTACCAGTAGATCCAGTAGGCTTGAGCAATCCTGAGGCCGATCAGCTGCTGACATAGCCCTCGTGATGACACGGTCTTCCCCGTCACAAATGGTGCAAGTCTTCAGTGAACACTGGGATCCACTCATTTGGCTGTGGGTCGTGGCCCGTGGCACTCGGAAAGCCAGCCCTGTGCACTCTGGTAAGTTGACCATGTCTAGTTCGTCTATTCTGTTCATCTTCGGTTGTAGGTCACCTCCACTGCACCCAATCAAATCTCAAAATAAAGGAGCTTGAAGACTATCTTGAAGCTGTTTTTATGCTTCTCTTCTTTTCATCAACTGGGGCAAACCCAACAGCGATCCAGCCGCCCCCAATCATTCCCCAATCTTCTCCCCCAAAACACGCCTTTTGTGGGGCAAACGGCAAATCTCACCAATTCACGCGTTTGGTCCGGTGTTCTGCCCGGAGCAACTCATGTGCGGAGCAATTGGCAGCAAATGCCATGCGCGGTTTCTGTCACCGGCACTCGCACAACCACATCACTGCGAGGGCGACGCAATCCAGGCGCTGAAGGCCCAAAGCTATACAGAGCTGGGGCTGAGGAAGCCATGACAAATCAACTTGTGCAAGGTGGGAAAGGTTTGTGGAACTGGTTCCGTTTCCACTTGGGATGAGCTATCAGCCACCAGTGGCCAACAGTCAAGCCGGCACACAGCCGGTTGTTGTCGACCAACATCAGGCTACCTGCTACCTGGGCGAGAGTTATTTCTGTTCCCAATGACGTTCCATGGTCACCCAACCAACCTAACACAAATGCCCATCGGGCAAAAAATTTGGCAGCTTGTGACTGAGTGATACGTAGGGCGGCTGGTCCTACTCCAGGAAAGATCGTAGAGATCCCAAAACTGGTTTAAGGGAAAATCAATAGGACACCCAATAGTTAAACAGGAGACCCAATAGTTATAAGTTATAGGTATAAATGGGTTACATCACATCCATGTTACGTCCATGATTCATCTGTCGTTCCCTAACGCCGCCAATCCATTGGAGTGTCTAAGCAGCATGGTCTGGCAAAGTGCCCACAGTACGGACGCGTCCTTTACGGACGCGTCGTCTCCACGGTCGTCTCCACCTCCCTTAACAGTCCTTTCCTTAACATGTCGACTTTCTGCGCGGCATGTCTATTGATATGTCATTGTTGTCCATGTATTTTTTTTCGTTGTGGTCAGTCTAGGGCCACAACTGCAGCAGCTATCCGTTAGGTTGTCACTTAGCTAGTTGTTTCACCTCTTCTTTCAGTCATCTAAGCCTGAAAACTTAGAGTCCTGGGGCTTGGTCTCAAATCATGATCTTTCTTTGTCCATATTTATCTCTCCACGCCTGGTGCTGAGCCCGTAGATGTCACTCTCTTCCCGTCCATGCTGAGCATCTAAAAATTTTAATTCTGCCCCGTTTGGCCAAGGTTGGGAGTCGGGTCAGCCCCTCATTTTACTGTAAACCCATCTCAAAAGCCGGCCAGCATACCTGGCCGTGCCCCACCCAGGTAGTGAACTTGGACAGCGTGCCAACAACCAGGCAACTCCTTCTTCGGAAGGAGTGCAATACGTTGGGCGGCAAGAAGCCACTACTTTGGGGTGTGGCTCATGTGGGGATTCCCAACCAAGCACTTCCTGTCTGTCTAAACCATGGACTGTGGTTAAATCGGTTCAATGGTCTCAGTGTCTCTTAACAACTGATGATCCAGCGCAGGCGATCAACGTACACAAGCAAGAGGCAATGAGGCAATGGAAATGGTAACGAAATCATGTGGCTGTTGCATTCATCGTTATTGAATATACGGTTCTCTCCCTCTCTCTCTCTCAGGTTGGAGGCCATCGCTACTAGGGCGGAGGCCATCGCTAGTAGGTTCGAGGCCATTGCTTCTAGGTTGGAGGCCATCTCTATATTAGGCTCGCTCTCTCTCTCTCTCTCTCTCGCTCGCGAGCCTGGCAGTCTATTAGTTAATCAGCCGTCCCACAGGGACACTCGGCCGGTGAAAATCACATATTACCCTCAGTAATCTGCGCACGGCCGGAGGGTGAAAATAGTTGAGGTAACATGAGCCCGGAGCATTGACCCATGGAAAAGCAGGCTTCCGAATACCAACCCGACGTGGTTTTGGGGTTCCATGTGGTCCTCTGCGGAGTATATAGTTCAACATACCCCGCGACAACTCTTCAGTTCCAAACTGGTGACAAATACGGGGTTTCAAAGTAGATCGCGCAATCCCCGCAAAAATGGTTAATATGGACCCCGATATTTATAAAACCATACATAAATATATATATATATAAACATCTTTGGGTCGGTCTGTGGCATCTATTCTGGAACCACTGTAGACCCCCAGTGAGTGGAGCAAACGGACCCCCTTGTCGTTCTAGTGTCAAAGTGCAACTCATTGAACCTGCGAATGCGAACTTCTACACTGTCTACACTCCATGAAGTAATCTCATGGTTACGTAAGTTACGTGGATGGCCCCGGGTTATGAACCATTTTTTCCGAGCCAATTGGGTGCCATCCACTTCCAACTGGAGTGCCAGAGGTCGGTTTGGCATTTCTCCGCAAGGAGTCTCGACTTCTGAAAACCCCTGGAGCCAGCACCCCTCAGGATGTCACGCCAGCGAGAAAAATGGGAAACGCCCGCGGCGAGAAAAGCATGCAGCTAACCCCCACATCTGGTGGCACTGGGATGTTAGGGAGGAAGAAGACAGGTGACCAGCTGAGTTGATCCAAAACAAAAGTGTGACCCGTTTGGGGGGGTTTTACAAAATTGGGGAGTGCTTTCCTGACAAAGCTCATCAAAGTTCAGAGTTCATTCAACCAGTGGGCTGTCATAACTCAGGTCGATAGCTCGTTGTGGAGACTGGCAGTCAACTCACGTGTTTGATAGCTCTTATCGTACAGCCGGGCATGTACTAGCCATGGTCGGCGCAAGAAAACCATGCCCCGGCGCGGGTTTCCTGGTCCAACAGCCCGTTTGTGGGGCGAGGTGTGAAAAAGCAAGGCAGCTGAGGAAATGGGTTCCCTCCTATATACGAATAATTGAACATGACATTCAACGGTCTCTCTATAGGATTCTATAGGTGTGTCTCCCTTTTTTTACCACTCCGCAAGCACTAGAGAGATATGGAAACTAGGCTCGAACCCCTTGGATGCGACATCCTTCGCTTCAAACATATACCTAGAAAAGATCAAGAAAAGTCACCTCACTCACCCTTGCTCATCTTGCTGCATACGACCATAGCCAGAAACTCAATTGAAAATGAACCATCGTTCCCAGCTGACACGCATGTGTAAAGGCTGGAAGGTCGACGCCCAGACGTGGGGGTGGAGATTTTCGGCGGGCGGTTGGTCAACACCCGCCCCGGTGGCGCCAGGGCTCCAGGGGAGCGAAAGTGCTGTGTTTTTCAGTTGAAAGAATGCGAACTTGGATGTAGACGCTGCACTGGAACCGTCACACCAAGCATGGCTGCTGATGGCTGGCATGCTTATGCTTATGACGCTTAGAGGCTTAGAGGGCGGTCTTACATCCAAAGGCTGCAGGGGTACTTCCACTGCATGTTCTCCACCAAACCGGAGAAACATCAAAACACCACACTCCAACTGGGGCTGGGTTGATCGCGCATGATCGCGCTGCCAATTCCAAGCATTCGGTGCGAGTGCCACGGCTTAGCCGTTGGCCTCGTACACCCCCGACATCTGAAAAGCCGGTGTCCTCTCGGTCCAAGGTTCGGGCGACAGGAGGTCTTCCGGTGAGTGGCGAAAAGAAAAACCAATGGAAAACCACCTGGAAAGCATTTAAGTTTATATTTATATAAGTGTAATCCAAGTCGAGTTGTAGCATGTCCTAGTGACATTGCTTGACTTTCATGGGGAAAGTAGTAAGTAGTCTCTGCATGTCTGTGTCTGTCAGGTCTTGCGCCTCACCCATCCTCTGTCACCTCTCCAGCTTCACCAAATGAGAAGCCTGAACCGAGCCGAGGCTTTGCTCAGGACCCTTCATGAAAGCACAGTCATTTGCATAAGGGTACCAGGTGGGTGTACTTCTTGGGGTGACCCATCACCAGTGAGTCTTGAAGATCTTTCGCAGGGTCCTCTACCAAAACGAGCGATAAAACGTGACAAAGTCTTGACAGTCATGAATCCTAATCATAATACTGTATATAATGGTAGGTATTGGTAGGGTTGTAGGGATGTGACAAGCCCCATGTCTATTGAACCCAGAGCGAGCTCCTCCTGGTACCCCCCGAACTTGGAAGGACTTTTATTGCTTAGTGATGCTCAGATGCGGCCTCCCAGGCTAGCTCGCCGCTAGCGGCTAGCTTGTCCACTGATACTACGAAACTGTGGAGCTCTTTGAGGGCAAGAATGCAGCCAGCCCAACCCCGGCACGAAAATGGGACGCCGACTGGGACGCCGTTCTGATTAAATTTGACATTTGCCCATTGCCATCTATGAACATCTAAACAACAACTTAGTCAGCGAGATCGGTCATATGAGAACGGGGCGCGCGCGCGCGCGCGCGCGTACTGCGTGGTCGAATGGCCTAATTGGATGCCCTCTGCGGCCAGTTGTTGCCGATGCCCGCATCGATCACCCTGCGCCTGGATAGGAGCAAATTCTTCGTCATGGGGAAGATCGAGCTGAGTCACTCGGCTCAGAAGAAAAAGAACCAAAAGGAACAGAAAACGAACCAAAACGTGTAGACATGCGTAAACGTTCAAGTCCAACGAGTATCGTGTGTGTGCTCGGGTCTATCCGACGATCCTATTACCAGTGGATGATGATGGATAGTAAAGGCATTGTCCAAATAATATGCGACTATTGTTCACTGACTGGCGCAGGTAATAGGACAAACCCAAACGATATATATTTGACAGCCCCATCATGCAGCGCATTGGCACTGTTTTTATGAAACTTGAGTTGTCCTCCAGCATACAATGTCATGTATGTCAAGGTGACCTTCATCCCTCGGCAGGGTTCCGCTCCCAGATCCGCGGCACAGAACTGGGCCCGAAGCAGTTCTGTAGGGGGTCATTCACTTCTGCTCGGCGGCCACGCCCATCCCGATCAACTCTGTATGAATCCACAAAAATGAACTGACTTTGCTTGGCCTCCATAGGCTTCAGTTGGCCTCCATAGGCTCAAGTTGAGCCTCTTGTGAATTACTGGGCCTCTGGAAAGTGGACCCGGGACAAATCCGGTCAGACTTCACACGACGGACCGCGACGGTCTCATTCCTTTTCACCTTTTAGGACCGGGGGCCAGACCCGAGATCTGCCGAGATGCATGAGGAGCATAAAGCCTAAAAAGTCCAGGCCCTCACGTGGAGGGCCCGCCTAGGTGCTCAAGTCCAACTGCCAAGGACAAAGGAAAAGCTAAGCAGCTAATCATGTTCTTTCCATGAATCTGGGGCCACCTTCCCCCTGTGTGCTGCCTGGCTGTGTGACACACAGACTGACATTCGTACGAACTTATTGCACATTGCACAAACAACTATAAACAACTAAACCTTGGGCGAAACCAGGTGTCAAATGGGTTCTATCGCTGACTCCAGGTAGATAGATGGTTGTTCGACTGGAGTCTTGCTACTGGGGATGGTCTTGGAATTGGTTGTTTCTTCGAGGTATGCACTCTGCCTAACCAAGCGGTTCTGATTGGCTTTGGCTACTAGCAATTACCAGGTTACCAACCACCAAAAACAGTAACGCAATTGTAGAAAAAAGGCGGACCTCAAAGAGTGTCAACGCCACGATGGCCGTAGAGTCTTCAAGATGAAGGAGGTATGGCAACATGCGAGCTACTTACCCGCCCCCGGTACAAACGCCTGGTCAAGTAGGCTCTGGGCGTTTGATAACCTTGTTGCCGGACAAGTAATCTTCCAACTGACGAACTCATCTATATGGCAGTCTGGCAGTCTATGGATCTCTCGGTGGATTCGAAAGCTCAAAGCTCTGGGTGACTTGGCGCCCTTCCTTCAGCCAAGCTCTCCCCCTAACCTCCTTCCGCCAAGTGGACGCTGGAGGTCACCATCACGCCTATCCAAGCCGGAGGTTGCGGGCACTTTCGCAGGCATGTTCAATCAATGGCTCCCCCCAAAGGTGTTTCCTTCAAAGTGGTGGCACCACCGCTAGGAAACAATGGAAAAGAGTGGCTGACAGTTAAGGACCATTAAGCTTTTTGTTAGTGGGGAAACAAATCCCCCAAAAGGGTTAGGTTATCTACTGACTGGGTGGAATGGCATGCGAATCAAGGAGCCATGCCATGTCCTTAAACACATCGAGAGCGATAAACCTCCGGCACAAGGTTCACAGCGGTCTGCATGAAAAGGTGTAGTCACACAAGTGTCCTTTGACCTGTCCTGCTTGCCAGGAATGACCGGTGCAGTCTGAGTGCACCCAAATGATCCCAAATGTGCAGCAGCATCGCATTTTGTGAACAGGTTGACATGCGCCGACTAACTGGCACCTTTGTCCTCTGCAAGCACTTGCTCGAAAATGGAGTACAAGGATTGGCACCTCAGAATCACAGGAGCAACATCAAATGCTGAAGGCATGTAACCCCTGAAATCGGGAACTGTCAACGAATTAGAAGTTACAAACCTGTTGGGTGCCAAGGTGTGTTTCTCCAACGACTGCACGGCTGCAAATCCAACTCCTGCCGCCTAAAACGCCACACAGCAACTCCTGCATGGACTCCAGGATGCCCTAAATGACTGTCCATAACTGGTCCATAACTACTGTACATCCCGACAACCTCGAGGAAGTCCACGGTTTGACCACAAGGTCTTAATCACTTACTGGGATCTGGACACATGGTGCCCAAAGACTATCCCGGTGGATGATGAAAAAGGCATGAGAATGGAAATGAAGAAGAAGATGATGAAGAAGAACACGAAGAAGACGAAAACGAAGACGAAGACGAAGAAGGAGAAAGACAAAGAATAGAAAAAAACACAAAGAAACTGATGACGCTGAGAGAAAACCAGAGAAAGTGAACAACACACCGTCCCCTCTTTCTTTCAGCCCGAAAAAGGGCCCGAGGAGCTCCGAGTCGGTCATTTCGAATGAGCGAGTGAACAGGTTCACCAAGTCCTGCCGGTGGGGCGGGCGTCGACGGCCACGTAGTGCTTTCAAGAAGCGTAGATGATGTAGATGGCACAAACCCGTAAGGAGGTGGTTTATATGGAGCCTCATCTACAAGTCATCTTCAGGTGCCAGTGCCATCTACTCTGAAACCACTGTAAGTGTTACAGTACGCGAGGATCCAGGTTTCAGCAAGGCTGGTAAATACACCTGTTTCGCTTCTTTTGGGATGGCCAGCAGCTCCGACTTTCAAACGGCACATGCTTTGGCAGCCCTGACTCTCACACGATAATGACTAAGAGCTTGCAAGACAAATTGCTAAATTATGTCTTTTGGAGCATCTGCTGGGAGTGGATGTCAAATTCTGAGCGAGGGCAAGTTTTCGACAACCCAACAAATTTGCAAAGTGATCAACTGCTGCGGCCAAATTAACAGGAGTGCTTCCAGTTGATCAGTCGGAGTCTTGGACATGGTGGAAGAAACACGCATCAATACACTAAATCTTTGGGGAAGATCATGCAGGAGCGGCATGTCATCTTGATTTGGGACATGGCTAAATGCCACATCTCTGCATGAGGTGTATGTTTCCCACTGAGTCAAACCAAAAACGCCCAGACCCAAAACTTCCCCATTCATTCCATGTTGGTTTCTTGCCATGTTTTGTGGCTTCGAATTCTGAAAAAGCTTTTCATACTCTTCTCACGACCTAGCTTGCTTCTGACTTGTGTCGGTTTGTTTTAATTCAAGATGGCATCAGTGAAGTTCGGAATTGTTCTCTCCAGGTCTCTTGAGATCTAAACTATCTTGAAAGTACAATCGAGTTGTCAAACACCAGACCCCACACAGCAAAACGAGAAGCTCTCGGATCTTCCAACATGGGCCGACGCACGGTGAAAAGGCGGTGCTCACGAATCCGTGGGTTTTGGACGTCAAAGACTATAAATCAGGTTGACATCCCGAACATCGTGGAGTCTGTTCATTTGATCCGCGGTTGACCAGGGTTAATTACGGGGTGCCATGTGGAAAGATGCTTCTTCCAACTGCGCCGCATGGCGCAAAACCGCCCTGGCTCGGATTTTCCGCCTCACAAATCAGTGGCTGCGCCCCTTCGTCGGTGACTGGCCTGAAGAGAGAGTGGGGCGTGCCCAGGTGGTTCAGGTGCGCCAACAAAGACCAATCTCTCAAGCCCTTTGAGGAGGCTGTGTTATGCTGTGCTTTGCTGACGGGTGGTCATCCTGGTCATCACGATAGCGGTTTTACTTGTCCTCTGGGTCCAATGGGGCGGAATAGCAGCCGGCAATCGTTCATTGATGTTCATTGCAAACGCCCTTTCCAACCACCGTACTGGGTCTATAGAGTCTATAGTATATTATATAATACTTGGAGGGAATGTCCATCTGGATGCATGCTTCTTGGCTCCTGGTGATAAACAGTGTGATGAGGGCAGATGCGTGATTTTCCCCCCCAAGCGGGGCAGTTCCGAAGAATCTGAAGCCAAGATCTTCCAAGTTCTGCGGCATCGCCCTTGTCACGTTCGTAGCTTCTAGCTCATTAGCTACTAGTCATGCCCTTAGTTCCGTTCGCTCTCGCCCTTGTGATGGTCGTAGCTCCTCCTCCCACGGTTCGTTCCACCGTTCGCACGGTAGAAGCGGCGTTCAAAGCGGTCTCCGAGACCTCACTGAGACCCTCCTCCCCCCCCGCGGCAGCGGTGGGGTGGCCCGGCTCGACGAGCCCGCCTCACTGGAAAACCACCGTCGTTTTCGCTCGTTGTTCTACCATGTTGGAATCTTGGGGAACTCCGCTCGATCCATCGAACAACACTCGACCATTGAGATCTGGGCACAGGAAGATGCTCAGGAACTCCGCAGCTTCGCGCGTCTGGAAGCCCATGTCCCGCAGCGCAGCAGCATAGACGGAGCCTCGGTGTTCGGGGAGCTTTTTTTGGGAGAGGTACAGCACCTTCCACGTCCCATGATTCCCTTCAGGGCGGTTTTTTTTCAGATGATGTGAGGTGCACTGTCCATGACACATGGACCAACATGGACCCACCAAAACAGATCCGGCACTTCATCACAAACTGGGATGCACTGCTATTGTCAAACGTTAAGGGTTTATAGTTAAATCTATATATAAGGTTTTGTCTATTACCAGCACGGCGCAAGGAATCTGTTCAAGCGGTCTGAACAACCATGCTCTTGCGGTTGCTCAGGCCCACACTGGCCTCTGATGCTCACTGGTACGCTCACACACAAAACGCAAGGAAACACATTGAAAAACAATACCTATATAGATATACCATGATATACCTAGAAAACTGGTGCGTTCCACCTAACCTCAGTATAGTTTCCTGGGTAGGCCAGGAAGGACATCGACATCGACCATGAAATCGACCCACATCGGATGGACCCTCCACACGACACCGATAGAAGGGCCACACTGGTAGATCTCGGTCTCGTCCTTGATCTTTCGGGTCACCTTGCGGTGGTGTCGTTTCACCAGCGCGAGGTAGCCCGCGCAACGAAACCGCACGGCGGCGCAAACGGATCAACTCGGTGGACGGGCGGTTGAAGCGGATCGCACGTGGGAGAGCTATGGTAACGGACCTTGATATTCAAGATGTAGACTTGTCATCATATGGCATCATCACATACCATCCAGTCTGAGCCATTCTTGGAAAGCTGTTTCAGAAAAGAAGTTCAGCATAGGGAATTGGCAGAAACCGCGTTCACAGATGGAATCACCGAGACCACTCAGCTCGACTCGCTGGGTCCACTTAGGCATTGCAGGAGTTAGCAGGATGATTTCTGGACACCTTTCCCAAGCTCAAAAATCTTCATCCTTGGACCGTTGACACAAATGACACAACCCCCCCCAAAAAAAAGGAACTGCCTAATTACTAATTACCCCCTAGGCTTTCATGGTTGAGTAAGGTGCGCCTAATCATCACAAAAAGATCTGGCTCGGCAGCTGTTGGAGCCCGACAGAGGAAAACCATCCATTTCAAGCATCTCCGATATTTCACAGAACTGGGTTTCTCTCCCACAGCATCTCCGAGGGAGGGTTCTCAATGGAACCAGGTCACTTCAGATCACTTCAGCCATCCTTCACCCTTGCGACTTCAGCCACTCTTCACAGGTGGCTGTTCTCAACGCTTCTCAGTGGCCGCTAGGAGAGCCATCAGGTCCACGGAAATGTTCTTCTCACTGTCCTTCAAGAGCTTCACCTCACTCTCCGGCCCCATTACAAACAACATGTATTAATCCTATTGCTCTTTTATTCCTATTAATAGGCTACTTTTAGTGTTACATAGTGTTACTATTGCTATTGAATAGCTACTACTATTGGGTGCTATTATTCTAATTATATATACTATGTTCCGCCGTTGTGTCAGATTTCTGAGTGTCCCGTCTCCGTTGCCAGGGTTTTGGAGCATGTCAGCAATGCAACACTAAAAGAAATCTCGCATCGTCGCAAGAAGGTCGACAACACGAACTGATGTGCCACAAAAGAGGGGGAACACAAAAAACACAAAGTTGACCTGTTTTCCCGAACATACCCCAAAGAGCCATGCCAGATTCAGGAACCGATTTCGGTCTCTCTTGGACAATCGTCTTTTTCGCCGACGGCATGGCAACATCCCCAGGCATCTGCCGTCCGCATGCCTTTTGTGGCCAATGCGCAGGTGCGGTCGGCATCACGATCTTCGTTTAAACGTGTAGAGGTGGTGATCCAACCAGCAAGTGGCGTACGTGACCGATTCAGAATGACCCTGAATGGGGTCATGTTGCGACCCGGTGTGCGGACCAAGGTCAGGTCGAGGGGCCTGAATGCTACCCTCCACTGTCGTCGTTCAACGGCTCTCCCTTCCAAGTGATCCTTTCTGCCCCCACTGCTGGGTCTAAATGTCTTGAGGTTTTCAGCGTGGTGTCCTTTCTACATTTAATGTGGGATCCTTGGCGATGGCTTCAGGCAGATGGCGCGGAGCCAACAGTTGACCGGGAACCCAGTCGGATGCAGATGGAATGAGTGCTGCAGAAGCTTCGCCGCTTCGCGGGGTATGTTCACCACCTCTCTGTGATTCTTGTGCTCATGTCATGCGCCATCTCTATGAGGTGATCTGCTCTTGCGCTTTCGCCTGCTAGAGCTGGATTTGCCTCAGGAACCGGGAGAAAAGATTATAAAACATCATCCCCCGAAGGGAGTTCCATAGTAAACACACAAATCACCCTAAGCAAAACCAGGAATGGCTGGCCCTAACCCTAGCCCTTGAAAAGGCCCTTCAGAAGCTGATGCATGGGCGGTCGCCAGAAGTCAAAGACGGAGGTGGAGACGCCCGCCTCAGCCAAGCATTTGTTACGCGAGCTCGTTTCTGAGCTGCGCCGGTGCAACCAACAACCAAACCCGTAGTGGAAGTGAAACGCATGGCTTCCGAAGAGGACCCCCCCCCAAGTGATTGAATACGTGGATGGGATGACTGGAGATCCCTAGCACCCCGGAATCGACGCGGCCCAGACTCCCGAAACCATTCGCAGAGACGCCGTAGACTCCATGGAACTTATTGGTTGGGCCCCGTCCGGGCAGTTGTAACATGGTGCGTGTGTGTTCTCCCCAGGCGGTAGTCTGGTCAGCCGTGCACCAAAATGGAGATGAGCCACTGAGGCTTGGTCTCACTGGTTTGGTCCTCCGCTGAACTTTACTGGTGAGTCTTCTACAAAGGATCTGTCTTTGCCAAGAAACGTTCACAAAGTGACCTGAGATGACCTGAGAACAACCACTTGCCTACCCTTTCATCTCCCAACTGCAAGGAGTCTTCAAGGAGGTCATCACGATGACAAAAAAAGCAAAGCATACATTTCAGTCAACCCCCAATAGACCCTAGGGATCCACGTACCCTCTGAGAAGGTGATTGGAGACACTGTTATGTAGGTGTATTTAGACCCAATCATAAGCCTTTCGAAAGTTGTGGGTCCCTCAACCATCACGTTTTCAGCCGCACCTCCATCATGCCTGCAGCATTGGACGTCTTCACCACCAGCTGGTTGGCACCAGGAGGGATTGGCACACCCTCCTGATCATCGGAGAAGAAGCAGCACCCAACCCCCCTGCGCATAACGATATTGGAGTCAAAGCAAAACAAAACTGTTGGCTGGTTTGTTTTCAGGTAGGCACGTGGGTGCTTCTTCTTTTGTACCTCCCGATCTACGAGACAGCATGAGAAAATAAGTGATGCTCCACATCTATTACCTATTGTTCTGGCTAAATTTGCAAACTAACTGGCTAAATTTGCAAACTAACTGTTGGTTTGGCAAATTATCTTTGATCATCTTTGTATAGGTGAGCTAGCTGCTAGCTTGTCGACTAAAACCAAGGGTGATGAAAGTGTCCACCCTGCACTAGCCCTGCACTACCTGGGATACCTGCTGAGGATCGTGGATCCTCTCGATTAAGACCAAAGATGGAAGCTCATGGAAGCTCCAACAACTTTCTATGTTCCGGGTTCGCGGATGGAGAGAATGGACTGCAACAAGAATGTATGGCCACAACCCACTGGATGAACATCCAGCATTGGCCTCAGGCACGACCGTGTTAAAGCACTCCTCGAGCTGGGTGACCCAAACGCTCGATTGGCGCACCTGACCCTCGCCCAAGTGGTGCTCGTAGATGCCCTTTGGCAAGCAAATGATCAAGTTCAGCAGGCGCTTGTTGGAGGCCCAGAAGATGTAGTAGTGGCTGATATCCTCGAAAAGTCGGTGGAACACCCCGGTGACTGTGTCGAGCCTGGAGGAGTCCAAAGGAGTTACCCGGAGCCCATTCGGTGTTTGGGGCTTGTCTCCAAAAGCCCAAGGGGAACATGAAACCGCTCCGAGAGCCATGAGAGACAGAGCGTTTCGTCAACGAAGTTCATGGCTCATGACTCTCCCTGGAACTAACATGGAAGTGGAAAACCCTCTGTTCGTAGAAGAAAATGGTTTTCCAGGGAACTATTCTCCACCGAAAAGGATGATTCCAGGAAGTGAGATGGTAACGTAATGGCTCTTTTAAGCCCAGGCACTGATTCATTGGCGGCAGGGCCCACCTGAAAACGAGACCGGGAGAGGAGCAAGAGAACAAGGCAGTCAACAAACTTGTTGATCTTGACAAGTGGCACGTGGTGCCAGCTACAACGAGGTGTTCTAAAGTCCTACGTCCGACGTCCACTTGCTCAAGTTTGGGAACAACATGTTGAAAAATGTGTTTAAAAATCAAAAGCCTTGCAAGGATTCTCGGAGTCTTTGTGGGTTAGGGAGGGTTTAGGGTGCTGTATGTGTCATGTTTTTCCATCTTGAACCTGCTCCTCCTATCATATCTGGCCTGGCCGCCAGCATCTGCCTGGGTTTCCAGCATCTGCCCCGACAATCCCAGTATGAGCGATGAAGAACTTCGAGGAAGCGTGAGGAGAAAAGAACATCGACCTAATGTAGACTCTTGATCATATTTCAAGCCCCCCAATTGAAGAGGTTATATATAATCCAAATGAAAGGGTTTTCTTAATCAAGAGTCGACACTCAAAATAACCCACTCAAGTTCGGCCCAGCTGTTCCTTCAAAGAGATCTGATAGGATGGAACGGCACAAATTAGTAAAAAATATATATAAGGATTCAGTCTTTTCTACACCTGCTGGCTGGCTCTCTGTAGTGGTGTTCTTTGAACATCTGTAGTGGTGTTATTTGAACAACCTTAGAGATTGCGCTTGCCATCACCTCAAGAACACACACAGGCTCCAAACCGTCGAATTCACGATCCCGTGTGCACGAGATCGGTCGATCACAACTGACACGGTGTTGGTACGCCTGACTGATGAAAGCTGGGATGAGCCTGGGTTCTTGTCAGGTCTAATTACTATCTTCAGCCCAACTGATTGGCACAGTGGCACCATACCATAGCGCCAAAACATGGTCCGAGCAAAATGTCACCCGTCCTCAGCGCAACACCCGTCCTGTGTCTCTCCCATCTCACGCTACATCCCCCAACCCTTAAACGCCGCCGCTCGCTCCAACCTGGATCATCCCCTTCACGAAGCCCTTCCGTGGATCTTCGTCGCCTCAGCCAAAGAAGATCAGAAAGAAACTCCACCAACTGCCGCAAAGCGAGCCAATGGCGATGGCCCCACAAGGAGATCTACAGTAGTTACAATTGCACACTAAAGAACAAACTCAGTAGCCTGTTGGTTGGGTCTTTCCAGTCCTGGGATTTTTTCCAGAAACGAGCACGTTGGGAAGCTCGGTTTTCCTCAAAGAACCTGGTCCAAATCCCACAAGCACTAAGGAGTCGATGGCACTCCTACTGTCCCATTGTTTTCTGAGCTCGCTTTTCGTAGGCCCAAGATGAAAAAA